AGTCACCCAACGCTGTGATTGCTGATGTTGCTAATTGGTGGACACCGACCTCAGTGAGGTCCTGAGCAGACCTGGCTTTCTGCTCTGTGCTCAGGACCTCCTGTGGCAGCTTCACTGTAGCCTGTACCTCACCCCTTTGCTTCCCTCTCCACAGACGGTCTTGTCTGTTCCTTCAGGGGAAGTAGAAGCACCAGGGCCTAACTTGCTGTGTCCTCTCCCTCAGGCTGTCGCTCACCTCAGAAAAAGCTACCCTGCATCTGTATGTCACTTTTCCTCCTTCCTTCCTGCTTTCGTAGGGGAAGCTCTGTCTTGTCCAAGAAGCATCACTTTCTCTGGGTTTTGCCTTCCAGGTACTGTCAGCCCCTCAGCGACTTGCTGTATCTTTGGCCTCCTCCTTTCTTTTGGCTCTTCTCTTGAGGATGGAAACATGTTTACAGCTCTCTCAAGGAGAAAGCTGTTCCCTTGACTCTTGTTCTGCTTTTAATACCTCTCTATTTTTTTCCCTCATGACCTAGGTTTGAAAGAATGTGTATGTCTTATACCATTTCTTATGTTCTAGGAACCCTTTAATCCATTAACGTCTTAAATCCAACTCTACTACACCAACGTAATTTCTCTTGCTGCGGTCAAGAAGAATCTCCTGATTGAGTCTATTTTAGTTCTTACCCATCTTAGTTGCTCTTTGTGGCATTTGACATTCTTAATTCCTCCTTCCTTCTTGAAAATCTCCCTTGACTTTTGGGACCCTTTTCTGTTCTGTTTTCTTTTTTCCTTTTGATCAGTCCTTGGTTTCTTTAGCGTGATCTTTTTCCTAAACACCTCACTTAAATCATTGGTGCATTTTCCCATAGTTCAAATTCTGTGTTCTCTCCCTGGATGACCTCAACCACACCAGTAACTAACTTCAGCCCTCTATCTCTGGTCCATATCTCCGTCTGGAGCTTCAGACCTGTACGGTACACTGCCTCCTAGACTGCTCTTCTTTACAGGGACCATAATTTATCCAAGCAGGAAACCTGAGAGAGCCCCTAGACCTTGCTCTTCTCTCCGCGTGTCCAGTAGGTCGCCTGCTTCTGTGTCTGTCAGTTCTGTACCTGAAATGTACAGCTGCCCACTTTGCCTACACTTAGTTATCTCTTTTCCAGATTACTTTACCGTTTCCTTTTCTCCGGTCTCCCCTTCACTGGTGTCCCTCACCATCTTCCTGAAGTCCTTTCCCCACATTGCTCCCAGCTGGGCTATTTACAGTACACATCTGATCTTGTCCCTCCATTTTCTTTAATATTTCAGTTTACTCAGCACCGTTTTACATGCCCATCAGCAGTGTATGAGACTACCACTATACCTGTAATTCACGTGGTCTGCTTAAAGAAGCTTTGATGTGCTAGAAGTATTTTTCTATATTTATTCAAATAAATGTGTAATGACAAAAATAAGTAAGTTGGCCTCTGCACTACATAAAATCATGTCAGATGCCACTGATGAACTGGGAATCGCAAGTGTATATTCAGAGTCGTGTTCATAGACAGTATGCTATAAGTGGTATAAGATGACAAAGGATCAAACTTTATATATTTGAAATAATAAACAGTTTTTATAAGTAAATTTAATGTCATTTCGCATGAGTATTTGAAGATCTAACTTCTAAAGTAGTTTAATAAGCAATTTATAAAACGTTTAGAAATTTAAAATAAATATAAATCTTCATATTTGGTTTTGTTTTATTAACTCTGAGGTATTATTAAATAGCATGAAACAATTCCTGTAGTAATCTATAGTTGTAGAATGGATTTAACCATAATTTTCTGAGTGACAATATTTTACATACATCTTTGCCCCAAAATTAAACTTTAATTTCCATTTTTTAGTGGTTTTTAGGATAAACATGTGACGCTTAAACAATATTTTATTTTTTAACAGAACAAAACTCCTTTAGTCAACGAGAGCCTGAAAAAATTTTTAAATACGAAAGATGGTAAGATGGTCAGCTTGTTCTTGTTTATTGTCTGTCTCTGAATTTTTAAATCTTGACTCCATTTGGTGGAAATCAGGAATTTCAGATTATTTTTTAAAGTCTGATTCTTAGAGGCCCTCATTTTAAAATTGTGTTTATTGGACAACTGTTAAGTTGCTATTAAATATTATTGGTCATGGGAAATTGCTGGTTAAAGCCAATTTTACTATAAAAAGCAGAACACTGTAATCCATTTATGAAATATCACATTGTCTTACCAATAGTTAGTTCCAGACTAATGATCCTAATGAAAAAATGGGGAGGCTGAGATTTTCGTTACTTAATTGTATTATTCAAAGAGAAGAAATTTGTAATTAAACAACTATAGAAACCTCTTTTCTCTCTTTAATTTTGTTTACTTTATTTCACAGTGTTAGTGCAGAGGCTCCAGGGTTCTTAAAGATTTGCTCACCGCCTCTTTTTCGCTCTTTGCAGGCCGGCTGGTGGCCAGTCTTGTTGCTGAGTTCCTTCAGTTCTTTCATCTGGACTTTACCTTGGCTGTTTTTCAGCCTGAAACTAGCACAGTAAGAATAATGATTTTTACATCTACCTTTGAAACTGTCTTTGATACGGATGAGTTCATTATAAGCTGAAAGTTAACAAAATTTGACAGCTTATAGTGTCTTGCATAAAGGTTTTTTTTTGTACTTGATTATCTGTTTTTCTTCAAAGCCATCTGAGCTGTCAGATAGCTGGCCCCACTGTCCCTGCTTCATATAACTTGAAAGGAGTGTTACTGTAGAGTTAATTTGTTTTGATGTTAAACTACGTCTGTTAATGGAGACTTTGAATGTAGAGATTTGGTAAAAGAAATATATAATTTTTCAAAATGGATACTTCATTCATTAGAAAAATGGTCTCTGAGTTTAGAGATGTCTTTAAGTTCTGAAAATATTTTTCTTTAATCTCTGAAAATAATTTTGCTGTATTTTTGTGCAGCTGTATCTTACTTCTTCTGTCTTCTCTAGTTTCAGGGTCTTGAAGGTCGAGAGAATTTAGCACGAGATTTAGGTATTATTGAAGCAGAAGGTACTGTGGGTGGACCCTTATTATTAGAAGTGATCAGACGCTGCCAACAGAAAGAAAAAGGGCCAACCAGTGGGGAAGTAAGTACAATCCTATCCTTTGTTACCTTTTTCTATTTTCTGTTTTAATTGGCTACCTAGTGTAGCCATGCATGTATCACTGAATACATAGTGAATCAAAGTTTAAATAAGAAGAAACTATTCCTTAAAAACAAAAGGAAACGCACTCAGATTGTCTTAAGTGCACTTCATAATGAAAATTGGGGCTATGGTAGCTCTGAGGCTGCTGCTGCTCCTGCTCTGGGGATTGACACTCAGAGGTTGAGTTCAGGAGCCAGGCTGTGTGGAACCAGTCCCAGCTCCTCCACCAGCTAGCCATCCACCCTGGACACACTACCCGCTCCCGCTCCTCTGTAGAATGGAGCTAGGAGAACCACACGCAGGAGTTGGTGCATGTGCAAGGCTGGGAACATTCAACTAATTGGTAGTCGTCATTTTTTTATTTTAACTAAATATAGTTATAGCTGAAGTATAGGCTAGTTAATAATTTTTTGAACTTAAAGGCTTTTTTAAACTAGTCTTAAAACTGTTTAAGCTGTTTATTTTGCTTAGTTTCTAAACATTTTCAAACTTCTGTTTTTTTGATTAGCCATTACCTTTCTTAGTCTTATTCTTTCTTTTTAGAAATCGTGCTAATGAAATTTATGGCCTGATTTCTGTTTACAAACATTAGCTTTACATAAAGATGCTGTTGCACAGATATAGACAACATTGTAATTGTTCCAGATAGCTGGTTAAATGTGTGCTTTTAGTCAGAAGTTCATAGGTAAGAATGTGGAAGGTTGTGGGCTGCTGCTTCTCCATTTGGAGTGTGTCAGATTGTACTTTCTATTAGAATCTTTGAAAATCAGCAAAGCTTGACTGAATACCTATTGCGTCTAAGGCATAATAAATAGATTCTTTTAATTAAAAGATAAAATATAAGAAAGTTACTTGTTCTAGGAGAGTTGAGCGCTATTCAAGGTAAGATAGGCTCACATAAGGAAATGGACATTTGAATGGTAGTTTACGATTATAGAGGAAGTATCATATAATATATGATTAGTTCCAAACATTTTATGAGTAGTGACTTTTAGTTAAAAATGGCAGTGGTTGTTTTATGTAGAGATTTTGTTAAACGCAGTCTTAATGTGAGGGTAGGAGGTCAGTTGGGGGAGAGGACTGGGAAAGGTATTGCAAGAAGGATGTGGAAGCCAGGCATGGGGGCGAGAAGCAAAACCCCATCCGGGAGGAGAGCACGTGTTGTCATCTCAGCTCGTGCATTTTAATTTTATCCAGTCATTCATTTGTAATTATTTAACAAGTTTTTGGTGTGTGCTTATTATATGATGGTCCTTGTGCTAGCTACTAGTGAATACAAAACAAACAAATTTAAAGAACCCCAGTCTTGGTTCCTGCTCTGTCCTGGGCCACAGTCTGTAGGTGGTGGTGACATCTCTTGGCTTCTGTGGCCCTGACCTCTGTCTCTCTCTGTGCCTTTCATTTCCTTTCCTCGCTGCTCTTCGGTTTACCTCACGCAGGGGTGGTTGCCCATATTTTTCTTTCTGGTTTGCTCTCCCTTGCATAGCATTCTGGTAAGAGCATGGCCTCTGGAACCAGACAGCTTGGGTTCACATCCCAGCTCTGCCACACCCTGTGTGTGGCCCTCTTGAGTCCTGTCGGTTCCTCCTATGCAGTGGAGATGAGAGAACTGCAACCTGGTGGGCTTGTAGTGAAAACTGAAGGGCTCAGTACGTGTAAAGCTCTGGGGACAGTGCTTGGCATGTAGTGATTGTATCAAGAGTGCCATGACTGTTATTACTGCTGCTTATCTTGTTACCATTACTGTGTGATGACTCCCTAAGTCCAGCTCAGTCATTTCCCCTAGCTTGAGACCAGAATTTCCAGCTCTTCACAAAACATTCCCACCTGGTTAACCCACTAATACATTTGAATCCTGTGTCAAAAACTGACTTTATTCTCTTTACTTCTAACAAAGTAGAAGTCACACCAGGCCAAAAAAAATCTGCCCTCCCCCCAAAAAACCACTTAGTTTTAGTGTTTTTGCACTTCTCAGTTTATGTTGATTGTGTTCCTTTGACTTCTTGGTTTCAGCCCGAGGAATTGCCTCTCTTGTGCCCTGGGTTCAGTCAGTCTGTCAGTAAACTCGCTCCGCTCCTATACCGGGCAGCTCTGGCAGCAGGTCAGGGGAGAAGGGTGGGTTCCTGGAAAGCTCTCTTCTCTGCTGGACAGGAAGTCTGCCTCACAGTTAGAGACCCAGTAAAAACTTTCCTGTCTAATTGGTTTGACTTGAAAACCAAAGCTGAGTAAATGTATTCTTCAGGACGCCTTTCTAATGGATGGGTCCAGAGCCTCCCTAGTCAGTTTATGTTGTTTCATAGCTGGGATTCGGTCAAATAGACTCAGAATAGGATTTCTGCAGCTTCAAAAGGTAATTGTTTTACTCTCAGAATGCAAAACCATAAAGTTGGACATTTCATCTCCACTTTTTGCTAGCTTTCGCCTCTTGATGTCTGGGTATCTCACTTGAACAGTTCATATATGTGTGTATACACATATAAATATTAGACAAATTAATATTTAAAATAGGGAGCTCACAGGTGTCCATTTCAGCCCTTCCATCATTTACTGGTGTTCATCACTTTGGGAAGAAACATGATTTATAATGAAAAATTATAGATGTTATTGACCTTTGTTTTGACTTTTGGTGCTGGAGAAGAAAACTAGGTGTGGATTAGCCCATTGAGCTCAGTTCGTGATGCTTTTACCAAAAGTGCATTTTAAAACATCCTTCAGAGTCAAGTCGCTGTGCCCCACATCCTCTGACGTGACTTTGGTTGATTTTGGTGGATGCTCCCCAGCCGTAGATAATTAAAAGCACTTTGTTTTCAAAGCTCCTCAGTGAGCCATTTTCATTCCCATGAGCATCTTACAGTTGGTCCCCATCCCTGTTCAGCAGCATCATTTCCTCCTAGATCTTCTCATCTTTTCAGTGTCTACTATTCAGTTGCTGAATTAATTTTAAAATTCAGCTCTTTATTCCTTTCCTCTTTAAAAATTGCATTGACTATATATAATGGCAGTTAATCTCCAGCTTCCTCAACTTTAAGATCCTGCATGATGTGGCACCAACCTGTCTTTCTAGCCTTATGCCTTTTTTTGAAATGTGAAACGTTGTACTTAAGCCACACTGAGCTTATCCTTGAAAGTGACTTGCTTTCTTGCCTTCTCCTGCTTCTCTACCTGAAATGGTACATCGCTTCCCTGCCCAGCTGCGGAATTTTATCATTCCCATCCTCTCTTCGACTCTGACTTTGGGAGATGTTTCCCTTTGTTCTTCCTCTCAGCCTGCTGGCAACTATTGTAACTGAACGCCTCATCTGCATGACTGTAATAGTTAGTGCACTGCCTTCACCCTGTTCCTGCACCGTACCACTGGGGACAGGGCTTTGTCTGGTCTTTGTGTCCCTTGCAGAGCCCAACAGGGATTCTTAACAGATACGTGTGCAAGGTCAGTGGGAGACTTTTGGAGGCTTTTGTGCAGGAGGAGTGCTCATTTGGAAGACAGATTTGTGAAGGTAGATTGGTGAAATTGAAAGAAATTAAAAGACTAAAAGAAGTGAAACCCATTAGAAGGCAAATGTAGCCAAGAGTGGCAGCAGTAGGAACAGACAGATGGGCAAAGAGGGTGCCTTTTCCAGGCAGGACTGAGGAGATGTGGTAAATTCATATTTGGGCAGAGAGACAGGGCTTAGAGGTCAATATAGGAAAAAGAAAAGCTTTCAAAGGTGACATTTAGGTTTTTAGCCCAGAGAAGATGATGCCATTGCCAGAAATAATGGGACTTGAGGGAGAGCAGAAGGTATGAAGAGCAGCACATTTTCATATTCAAAAAGTTGTAGTTGTTGAAAGGATTTTTGTAGCAAAATAGCCAGTATTTAATATGTGCAGTGTATAGAGCTTGTGATGATAGAGTGGATGATTTTTAGGAGATGATTTTCATTCAAGAAACATGAAAAAAAATTCCTCCTTTGCGTTTAGCATAGTGCTGAGAACCCAACAGTGTCTGCTCTGAAATTTGTGTTTCTGTGGTGACAGGGTGCGGTGAGGCAGCTGGACAAGAATAAGTGCTCTAAGAAGTGACAGGAACCATGGGAGTGAGAAGGAGGGAGGCCAGTTCGGCCGTTTGAAGAGGGCGCATGTTTTATGAGAGTGTTGCCATTGGATATTTTTTCTTGAGACAAAATGAAGTAAGGAAGCAAATCCAGGGAGGGGAGAAAGAGTAGATCTGTGTGGCTCACAGTACAGTATTTGTGTCAGGTTGGGACAGGGAAGCGAGGAGGTTGATGTCTGTCTTTTGAAAAAGAAAGTTGGAGGCACTTTGAAATGCTGAGGGTAGCCTGTTCAAGGTGATTGAGTGAAATACTTAGCAGGTAATTAGAATCTGTGTTTTGCTTTGTTTTTTTGGTAAAATTAGGGGAAAATCTAATAAGGATATTTACATTAATAGGAAAAAGTAAAAAAACCAACATTGTGTAGTAATTTTAAATGCTAAAATTATATTGAAGTATAATTAGTATATTCATGTTTTATAGTTAAATATGTTTTAATATATTGGGCCTGCCCCGTGGCTTAGCGGTTAAGTGCTCGCGCTCCACTGCTGGTGGCCCGGGTTCGGATCCTGGGCGCGCACCGATGCACCGCCTCTCCGGCCATGCTGAGGCCGCGTCCCACATACAGCAACTAGAGGGATGTGCAGCTATCACATGCAACTATCTACTGGGGCTTTGGGGAAAAAATAAATAAAATAAAATTATAAAAAAAAAAAAAATATGTTTTAATATAGTTAAATATGTTTTAATTTTAAATTGTGAAATATTTTAGGGTGCACTAGATCTGTCTGACGTACATTCTCCACCAAAGTCACCGGAAGGAAAGACAAGTGCACACACAGCTCCCAGTAAGGTGAGTCAGCACGGGGCACGGGGGAGCCGAGACTAGGCCTCCAGGGGCTCTGGTTTCCTCTCTCTAGTCTTGTTACAAGTTGTGCTGTGCTTTTGTAACACGATACTCTTTAGTTTCTTGAAAGTGCTTTTTTCCCTTTGATGAAGTATGTATTTTTTTAAAATTAGTTCTTTTGCTTTGTTGGAAGTGTTTTGAATTTTGTATTGTAGAAAGGAATATGCTGTTAAATAACAGAATTGTAGGATATTTGGACTCATTTGGTACTTTGAACACTTTTTCCTTCAATTAACAAGGAGGTTTACTTACTTTTTGTTTATAAATTCCTAATTTGAGAATATTAGGTTCCAGAATAAAAAATTGTTGTGTTCAATATTGTAGACGGGTGACTAGATTTGGAATTGTAAATCATGATGGTTTTTTATATTAATAAGCTGTTTTTTGAGAATTTATAAGAAAATATATGTGCTCTAGTTACGTGTGTGTGTGTGTGTGTAGTTAAAGTTAAGGCCTTCTGATTTCAGGGATTTGGCATTTGGCATAATGGAGAAAAAATTTGAGTGGAACACTTTAAGTTGAAGTCAAGGATATATATACTAACAGGAACAGATGGAAAGATGCTTGTCAGGAAATATGCTGTCTCCTGCGACTGGCTGGAGGCCAGCCTGCATTGATAGCACCAGCTGTCTCCCCAGAGCCTGGTTTGGGCCGATTGTGTTGTGTGACTGTTCCTCTGATGGCCGTTCGACAGGAGTCGAGGGACGCCCTGGAGTACCTTCCAAAAGTGATTTGTGGTGCTGCGTTGACTCGTAGATTAGATACAAGTTGTATCTTTTTACATTTGGTGAACTTCTAGAGGGTAGAAATTAGGCTGCTAGGTATCTTTCTTCTTCACATGCCTGGGCGCAGACACCGGTGAATGCTTCCTGTTGTTATTTGTCACTGGTTCTTTGATGTTGTTCTCCTTTTTATTTTTTAAATTTAGAAATCAAAGGAATTTTATGCTTTATTTCTAACCAGGAAAAGAGACCATCGTAGCATTGATAGTTGTTCCTTTTCCCTGAGATCTAGTTAGCCTTTTCTGTAGGGAAGGTTTCTCCTCGATGTTCATGGGAGGCTGTAACCACGATAACAGAGAACGAGATCGGGAGTAAATTTAAAAAGGCAATTAAATTTAAATTAATTGCCAGATAAAAGAACCTTTGTAAAAAAGCTTTGCTTTCTGTGAAAATATCTGGCTTTAGAGGGATTAAAATAATGCATATTCCAAAATACTTAGCAGTACCTATAGCATTGAGCTATTTAGAAATTCTCTTTTTAGCAAATTATTATTTTTTAAAGCAAATTAGCAATACTAACCTTCTGCCTATGGTGTGTGTCTTCAAGATAAAATATCGTCTGGTTTCCATATTCTCTCTACATAAATTGTTTTTTAGATCTAAGAGTTATGATGAGACTCTTAAGTTGTGAGTTGGTTAGGAAATGTTGCTCTAAATACAGAGACGTGATGGTAATTTTTAAGATTAATTTGGAGAGCAGTAATCTGTTTCTAGGTGGTATCACAGTGCTACCACCTTCTGATGGTTTTCGTCAACATAGCCTCGGTTCCCAGCATCCTAGGCCTGTGGTAGCAGTGGGCACTTCCAGAACACCATAGCTTATCTCTGGTGGAGCTGGGGCAGGATCTGTTTTAAGATAAGGCTTTCTTTTGTCAATTAAAACACAATTCCCCCATAGTCCTAAAGGATCTGGATTTGAGATTCTAGTACTTGCCCCACTCTTTTCTCGCCAGCTTTTTTCTGTCTCTCAGTGGTCTTTGAATAATTTCGGGCTCTAAGAAGGGCCTATGCCTTAGGGCACCTCATCAGTCTTGAGAACACTAGGGACTCTGGGAAGTTGTGGCCAAGTATAGAGTCCAGCCTGACCTTTAGGAACTTACTTTGTGTGCTCCTGAGGAAGGTAGGGTCACGCCAGGGCAGTTCTGAAAGGAAGCTGCTTAGGAGTTCAAGCCTGAGTGTCGTAGAATGCTGCTGAGTGGAGCATGAGATGAGTGATTCTCCACACAGCAGAAGTGGAACAGGGAAGGCTGTAGTATCTACATCTGACTGCGTAACTGTTGTACGGAGGACTTAAACATGGTTGAACCACTTTAGGAAGAGAGTTAAGAAAAGACATAAAAAAGTGAGTTTCAAAGAAGATCATATTAATTAGATTTTCCATTTTTAAGAAATTTTCTAATAGGAATCTTTATTAGTTTGGTTATGAATTAGTTTATTTTTACAGATTTATATTTTGTGGTAAAATGTCATTTTATTCTCATGCTCAGATACCAAGGTATAGAGGACAAGGTAAGAAGAAGACAAGCGGGCAGAAGTCTGGTGCCAAGGTAACATGTTTACAAGGGCAGAGGAAGAAAGCAGCCTATGCTAGAGCAGACCCCCCGCTCTGTGTGGGCCTCCTTGTGGGCACTGCGTTCCTATTGGCCTAGGCTTAAGTTTTCTTTTGAAATGTCCCCTACTTTTATCTATAATCAGAACATGATAAAGTCATGGTGACATAAAACAAAAAGTAATTGGACTTGCAATTTTTACCCAGGTGAAAATCATACTGTTGTATTTTAAAACTGTACTGTCAGTTTTACTTTGAGAATTCCTTATTGTGTTTGTTGGCAACAAACAAAATTGAAAATATTTATTTTCCTTTTGAATGGATGGTCATATACATATTCTTAACATTATGGTTTTTATCTGAGGTAAATAAAACATCAAACTACATTTTGGATAAGTTCCAATCCATAAATTAAAGGCTAAACTCAGCCTTTCCTTCAAGACATTTTTGTTTGTGTTGAGCAGCTGATGAGACCATTGCACATTTGTTAACCTTTCCGCCACACCTGGGCTCACGGTTGACTCGCAGTGACACGCAGGTGTGGAGCACTAATGCTGCAGTGATCAGTGCCTGGGCTGCTTTTGTTTCCTCCCCACAAGATCACAAAAATTGACTAAGCCAGTAGATTAGCTGCGTATAAAATTTAAATATTAGAGGTCTTAGAGGCATTATTAATCAGTACAGTTCTTACACTTACTTAGAATAAGATAAAACTACCTTTCAGTTCTGTGAGATTCATTAGTCCTTGTGGAACCTTGGGTTATGTATAGATTTTTTCACTAAGTCAAGGACCTCCAAAATTAAAGGGTTTTAAAAAATCATATTTGCTATGTTATTTGGCTTTAGTTATGGTGGTTTCAATGGTAAATTCCTGTTACTGTATTTGTTCACGCTGTTCTTTATGCATTATTACGAGAGAAGATGTTTCAAATGTTACTCAGCAAGTATGTTTGAACATTCACATAGTGAAAGTCATTGTGTTAAGTGCTGTGGGAAAGAAATTTAACATGGTTCTCAATTCAGCAGTCTACAGTCTGATTAAGAAAGATAATAATATAAAACAGCATTTTTTTTTTTTTTTATTGTGAAGAAGATCAGCCCTGAGCTAAGATCCATGCCAGTCCTCCTCTTTTTGCTGAGGCAGACTGGCCCTGGGCTAACATCCATGCCCATCTTTCTCCACTTTATATGGGACACCACCACAGCATGGCCTGACAAGTGGTGCGTCAGTGCACGCCTGGGATCCGAACCCACACCACCAGCAGGGGAACACGTGCACTTAACTGCTGTGCCATGGGGCCGGCCCCAAAACAGCATATTTTTTATAGATGCTTTTAGTCATTTTCTTGTACTTTTTTTAGAAATTAAAAGTGTATTACATAGTGTTAAATTTTTATACTCTTATTGGTGTCATGGGTTTTAAAGAAGTTAAACCATCTTGAAGAAGTTGATTCAGAACCAAAGCACACTAAGAGACACACGTGCACTCTGTGTGATGGAACGCAGCCCCGGTGGCCCTGTGGCGGGCAGGGCCTCCTGTGCTCCCTGGCCTTAAGGGCTGACTGAAGAATCTGTGAGGGCCGTATCCTGGACTTGGAGACTGTAAGTCGGGCCCCTCTTATTTCATTATTGGATTCCTGAGCCCAAGATGTTTCCTCAATCCCCTGGAAACCTTCTTTCCCTCTACTTCCCTGCTCATGTTTCTGAATTGCCTTAAATGAAGTCTGTATCATACCCAGCATTGCCTATTTCCAACCTGATAGATGAGCCCTTAACTCTTCATCCCTATGTCTCTCTGCTTTGCCTTGTGCATGTGGTAGATTCCCATATTCTTAATATCCTAACATTCTTAACATCTTAATAATCCCAATAGCAAGCTGCATTTGGTCTTTGAGATTGTACACAGCCAGACTCCAGGGGGAGCCATTCACGTGGTAGGTGAGTGGCATTTCCCAGCTGGGCAAAGCCGTAAGTGGTAGCCCTGCCTTCCGTGAACCAGGCATGCAGTGCAGGGACCGTGAGCGGAGTGGAACAGCAGGAGAGCTCTGAGCACCCCACAAGGAGCATTGGTGTGTCGTCTTGTTTCTTTTGCATGCAGGAAGGCACAAGTACTCATGGCTCATTTGGAGACCCTTGGTGGTTTTCAGAGAAGCTATATTCATATTAGAAATAAACTTTTAAAAATCACTCATATGTATGTATATATACATAGAAAATACTGATTTGTGCTTACTATTATAAACCTGTCAATATACAAAGCAAAATCTAAGGTTTTTGAACTAATTTAACTTGAGTAAGAAGAAAAGTTACATTTCTTGTTTTTGTTATTGTTGTGAGACAGTAAAGGATGGACAGAAGAGTTGGAATACAAGGTGGATAAATATTAGTTGGGAGGACTTTTTTTTAATGAGTTAAAAATTTTAAATATATTAACACTTCCAAAGTATCATCTGTAATAATGTGTTTCATTTTGTTGTACCAAACATGGTGTTATTTGTCTGAAAAAAATAAGTATATATTAAAAATTAGAACAGACTTTTGGTAGACTCTGCTGACTTAGCTTTTTACCATTCAGCTGAAAAAACTGAATAAGATTAGATATTTTTTGTTGTTGATATTTAGAATAAGCTGCTTTTTATCATCACATTAAATGTAATATGAAAGGTCATCCTTTGTTTTTGTCATCAGGTTTCAGGTGTCTTACAACTAATGTATACTGAGGAATTTTTTGCTTCGAGTTCTTAACATTTCTTAATTCGTTGTTTCTTGTTTTAAAAATTCTGGGATAAGCCCACCTTTATGTTGATTTAGGGCAGTGATGGGGATCACATTACATGTGTTTATGGAGGGTGTTTCTGCATCTTTTGCAGTCACCTCAGTTTTCTAGACAAGCCAAGCATCATGATTCCCTTACACACAAACGCACCAACACCCACCCCATCCTGAATGAACGAGTACTCATGGGTGAGCCACGTTCCCAGCGCTTGGCCCTTAGCAGTTCTGCTGGCCAGCTGCTTCAGATCCGAGACCCGGCATCTTGGTGCTACTTGTCGGCCGAACTCTGAGCTGCTGCCTGGATAGGGTGAGAGACGGGAGCCGCTATGCAGAAAGTTGTTTTCAAATCTGATTTCAAAGCCAGAGATATGGTTCTCTTTTGCATTTATGGGAATTACAGATTGTTTGTAGAGCATAGGGAGAAAGTTTCTTTAGAAAAACTTTGTGTTTTTAGAAAGGGGGGTTTAAGTGTTTTGTGGCTAGTGCTTTACTTTCTGGATGAGTGAATTGATCTTTTAAATATATGTGTGTGTTAAAACAGTAGTAAAATTACTTCTTTAAATCATTAGTAAGTCATGGATTAAAAACTGCCTTTGGCAGAATGGGGGAGGAGAGCTGGGGGGCTGAGGCATTAAATATTGCATGAATTTTTTTGAATACTTTTGCAAAACTGTGGTATTTGTCCTTGATGTTTCTCTATTATGAGCAGTGCAGATTAAACCTCTAGTTTGGAAAAACAAAATTATTTTTTCCATGTTTTAAGATATTCTAGTGATAATTCAATTTTTGGCTACTGGAAAGTTAGTTATTTTCACTGTATAACTTCTGCATACTAATTTCTGTTAATCTAGAAATGATTGAAATCTTGAATGTATAAGTGTGCTGGTAGAAAATTAAACATATGCTAAAACTTACAACTTGAATTTACCATAAAGCTTATTGGTCTTGAGATCCATCCAAGGGAATTTAATGACTACTGTAGTGCTGTGTAGCAGGTCTCTCACTTTTATGAAAAGACAGAACTTTATTATAAAGTTTCAGTTATTTATCATAAAAATACCTCTCGTAGTTCCTAGTGCTGCTGTCACAAAGTACCACAAACTTGGTGGCTTAAAACAACAGAAATTTATTGTCTCACTGTTCTGGAGGCTGGCAGTCCGAGATCAAGGTGTCTGCAGGGTTGGTTCCTTCTGAGGCCTGTGAGGGAGAATCTGTTCCAGGCCGCTCTCCAGCTTCTGGTGGTCCTCGGGAATCCTAGGCATTCCTTGGCTTGTGGACACGTCACTGTGGTCTCTGCTGTCATGTTCACTTGACGTTCTCCCTGTGTGTGTCTATCCTCTCTTGTAAGGACAGCAGGCGTATCGTGCTAGGGACCTCCCTACTCCAGTATGACCTCATCTTACCTAGTCACACCTGTAGTGGCCCCATTTGTAAATAAGGGCACACTGACATACTGGGAATTAGGACTTCAACTTATCTTTTTTGGGGGGACACAGTTTAACCCATAATAACCTCCAAGGCCTCTGAGGTTGTCCGAGGAGTGAGTTCTCAGCGTTGTCATGGGATTTTTTTTTTGGTCACACTTCTTTGTTTTAAACTATTCTTAACCTTAGCTATTTAGATTCATCCTGAATCTTAACTCCAGTTTATCCCCATCTAGGTGATAGAAACTCAAGTAACTGAAGTTTATGTATAGAAGGTAAAGACCTGTCTTAAGCCATGATAAAGGTTTTTTAAACAAATCCCAGGATATATATAATGAATGATTTGTTGTTGCTTAAAAGCTTTGGACTCCTCCATGGAAGTTGCTCTTGAAGTTCTGTACTACTTTTGTTTCACCTGCAGAGTATTTTGATAAGTCTTTCTCCTCTTAGTGTGAATTTTTTTTTAATAGTAAAAGTTATTTGGAATTAATTTTAATGAATATTCATTAGTAACCCAGTTGGGTGATGGTCTTTTTGGTAAAAAATGAGCCATAGTTTTAAAGTAATGACATGTTCCTCTGTGGTTTAGAAGTTGATTTTGAGAGCAGTTCCAAAGCAGATTGTTTTTAAGGTTTAATTTTACCCCATAGATAAATAGAACTATAGTTTTAAAACAAACTAATTATTTTTAAAAATATATATTGTGTTGAACATCATAATGTGCTTCTCCATGAAATTTATCTTTCTAAAACATCTTTCTTTCCATACCAGGAATATTGCTGAAACCAGTCAAAAAATAGTCATGGGTATATATTAATTACTAAGTTGAGATGGTTCATTATGTGGACTTAAATTATGTTGGTAATGTGAATTCATGGGGAAGAAAGGCTTCATTGGAATAATTATTGTTTTTTGTAATGTTGCTTTACACTTAACATTTCAGTTTATTTCTTTTCTTTTTTTTTTTTTGGTGTGAGGAAGATCAGCCCTGAGCTAACATACATGCCAGTCCTCCTCTTTTTTTGCTGAGGAAAACTGGCCCTGGGCTAACATCTTTGCCCATTTTCTTCCACTTTATATTGGATGCCGCCACAGCATGGCCTGACAAGCGGTGCATCAGTGCACGCCCGGGATCCGCACCCAGGCCGCCAGCAGCGGAGTGCGTGCACTTAACCGCTACGCCACAGGGCCGGCCCCTCAGTTTATTTCATGTCACTTATGCTTCTGAGTTTTCTCAGGAGTGTTTTGAAGGAGAGAATTGATCACTATTTCAGTATTCGTGGTTGTACATGTGTCTGCATATCACAAGACTTCAGGGTGTTCATTTCCAAATGCATATACCTTTGAAAAGATGTAAATCAATTTTAAAACATTTATAAATCAGAAATTATAAGGGCATGAATCTAATTAAGAAATACATAACTATATTTGATAATACCAAGAAAACTTCAAGAAAGTGGTTAGGAAATTTTTTAAATTTTCTGCTTCTTTGAAAATATCCTATGTTGTCTAAAAGCATGCTAACTTCGGATTTGTTTTTCCAGACATCTCTTTTTACAATCATGAATTTATCTATATCAATAGCATATGGAATGTATAGTGCTATCCAGGGCCCTAAAAATTGTATAGCATATATCTTGCCTGCTGTCAGCTAATCATGGCCTCTAACTAGTGTAAAAATTTAAATGTGTATCTTAATACAAACACAATACATTCTGTCTATACACATATTAAAAGTGAAATCATCCTTAGAGTATCTTATTCTGTAATTTCTAACCCACATTATGACCACCCTGCTTCAGTAGTCATTAACTTCTACCCAGCTGCCCATCCCTTCTTTCTTAACTCCTGGTAATAATTTGACTTGGAAAATACTAAGCTAGTTCACTTCTTGAGGAAATTCATGCCTGGGAAAATCAGTTCCTTCAGATTATGTAGTGAGTAACGGAGGATGGACTGCATTCTCCGTACCGTGTTTCTCATACACCACAGTCACTGCTCTCTTTAGTGTGGAAGGTGGAATCTTGGGAAATTGCCATGTTTACCCCACAAACACTGCAATTTCATGTGACTCAACCTAATAGCATAAGTATTAAGAGCTAACCTCTAGAATCAGACTCTGATACCCCTAACTCCCCAGGGACCTTGGCGAATGACTGAAATGTCTCTACATCCCCTTTTCCATATCTGCAGAGAAAACAGAACCTACCCCCACACCATAGCGTTATTTTGAGGATTAAATAGCACATGAAAAGCAGTTGAATGCTTCCTGTAAATGTTAGCTACTTTTATTATTACTCTCATGATTTTTTGTTTTTGTTGTTACCATTTTTATTATTCTTCTTGACATAGACGTGTGTAAGGGCAAAAAGAAATCTGGTCGAGGGTAGAATAAAATTAGGTTGTGAAGGTCAGGGCTAACTGTAAACAAGAAATACAGTATGCTTACAACACCGTCAGATGAGCAGGACGTGAGTAAAGTGCTGGAGAAGTTTGTTCATTGGGTTAAGATACGTAGAAACATAGACAGACGACACGTGTCCCAGGACACTTAAGGGAGGTGTGGGTTAGGGACTTCCTCTGAAAGTGAATTAAGACCATTGCTTCAACTAGCAAATCCTTATGTTAGAAATGTACATGCTAAGGGTGGCATCTTTTACCTTGATGTCTCTTGTATTTGGCACTGGATGGAAAACTGCTATTTTTTACTGATGAACACTTTGTTTTAATACTTGGTTCATTTATGTGAAATAATCTTCCTTCTCTTCTTTACTAGTAATGACTTCTTCTATTTACAAGTTGAAAACATATTAAGATAATTTAGAAAGCAATGATATATATGTAAGAGGAGATGGGAAAGTTGTTTATAAATGGGAAAGGTATAGTAAAGATACTCCCATTTAGGGAGGGAGCAAAGGAATGGTGTAAATGTATTTCTTTGACATTTTTCCTCTTCAGAAGTTAGCCATGCTGTGAAGCCTGGGGATGAACTGATAGATCGTGAGGTTACTCTGCACCTCATGCAGTTGCAAGACTCCACACACACGCACGCACACACACACACACACCTAGATTTGCATACGTTCACATGACTTCTCTTTATTACTTAAAGTATCTTATAAAGTTTCATTTCACCAAGGAGACCTTTTCTCTTTCCTTCTCTCTTTTTCTAGAAGACCAGCAATGATGCTAGTCAGAGTGATACAAGTATCTCCTCGTCAGAACCAAAGAGCAAAAGTAGTCTTCATTTATTGGCCCATGAAACAAAAATTGGATCTTTCTTAAATAACAAGAGTCTAGATGTCAAAGACAAAGCTGGTCTTTGTCCAGATGAAGATGATATGGAAGGAGATTCTTTCTTTGATGATCCCATTCCTAAACCAGAAAAAACTTACGGTTGGTGAGTAAACTGTGTTGTTGGATTATCAGATTAGAGCTTTAAAAATATAATTTCTAAATGTTTTATATTTAAAAAATAACGAGCTACCAGTGGTTCTATAATTATTGAATTCATAATTTCGATTTTGTGTCATTAAAGCTTTTTATGTTATAAAACAATTCCAGGTTTTAAAAAACCTATATAGTAACGATTTCAGTGGGTAAGTGTGCCTACCAGGTGCCAGGTACTGTTTCAGGTACAGGGGACAGCGCTGATACAGCTGGCACAAATCCTTGCCTCAGGAAGCTTATGCTCTTGTGGACGGAGGCAACAAACAGTAAGTAAGAATCACAACATGGCTGTGTTGGTGACGCAGGCAGTGTAACGGAGAACAGAACAGAGAAGGGAGGGAGTGTGAGTGTGTGGAGGGCATCAGAGAAGGCTTCTCTTTGAGGCTGCCATTTGAGCAAAGAGGTAAAGGAGCGGGGAGAGTGAGTCAGGCAGATATCTGGGCTTCTGGAGTTCTGGGGAGAGGAAGCAGCAGATGCAAAGTTGTGTAGCAGGCCAGAGAATGGCAAGGTAGAGTTGGAGGAGGTGGACTCAGATGATGGGGCTGGACCGACCGTAGGAGCGGTTTGGCTTGACTCTGAGGAAGACTGGAAGCCCTGAGGAGCTGAGCAGCAGAGTGACTAGATCCGACGTGCATTATGCAGGATCACTTGGCTACTGGGTCTCTAGGTGTGGATGCAGGGTTTCCAAGTGGGAAGCTGTTAGGATTATCCAGGTGAGGGATGATGGTGGAAGTAGTGAGAAATAGGTGGTTTCGGATGTATTTTGAGGTTAGCTCCAAAAGGATTTGCTGTGAAGTGTTAGAGAAAAAAAGTAATATCAAGGGGAACTCCCAAGTTTTCAGGCTGAATAACTGGAAGGTTGAAGACACCATTTGTTGAGATGAAGAGTGGAAAGAGCAGATTGGATTGCACAGGTTGGGGATGCGACAGTCTGGAACTCACTTTCAACGTGTTAAGTTAGAGAAGGTTGTTAGTGGAGAGGTGAAGTCGGCTATCAGATATGAGTCTGGGGATTAAGGAAGATGTCTGGGCTGGAGATACAAATTAGGGAGTCATCAGTTTTAGAGAATGTTGAAAGCTGGGAGACTGGAGGAGGTTACCAAGGAAGTGGGCACTGTGGCACCTCAAGGTCAGCGAGATGAGGAGGAAGTGGGGAAGGAGACCAAGACAACCTGGAGAGGGAGGTGTCCTTGAAGGAGGAGGCCGGAGCAAGTAGCCGAATTAAGTTCTGCTGAAAATCAGCCATTGCACTTAGCAACATGGAGGCCAGTGATGACCGTGACGAGCAGTTCAGTTGGAATGGGGCAGGGGGTGTTAAAGGATTAGAGCGGGTTCAAGAAGGAGTGAGAGGAGAGGATTGTAGATGACGAATAATTTTCTGATAAGTTTTATTTTAAAGGGGTGCAGAGGAGTGGGTGGTGGCTGGAGGCAGGGACATGGGGCGGAGAAACACTGAAGTAGGAAAAATAACAGCATGTATGTATGTTGAGAACAGTCCAGTTTTACAGAGGAAAACTCAAAGATGTACAGGAGTGAGAGACAGTTCCTGGAGTGTGGCACTTCAGTGCCCAGCGCGGGAATCCAGTGTCTGCTGGAAGGATGGAGAGTGTGTGGGCGCAGTTAGGGTGGGGTGGATATGATGGTAGGAGCCTGTGGAAGTTCTCGTCTGAGTTCACAGTTGAGGATGGAGGAGGGAGGGGGGTTGGAGATGTGAGGACTGAAGGAGGTATGAAATCAATGTGTGAGAAAGTGAGGAGAGCGGGCCGTCAAGAGGATGTAGGGTGCTGGGCACCGTTAGACATCCGCTTGAGGTTGGTGATGGTGACTGGGAGGGGAGATCAGCTGGGAGGCTGTTCAGGGCTCTTCTCAACAATGTCGTGTCTGAGGTGTAGTGGCCTGGGCTAGTCGACTACTGTGCTGTCCCTTACCTTTGTTTCTGGGCGATGGAAGGGGCTTCTGATAAAATCACAGACAGTGAAGATGATGAAGAGCAATTTAATTTGTAAGGTATCAAACAGAATTCTAGAGAGAGGTGAGCTGATTTCTCATTGACAACTTGCCGCATGACTTGTGATTGATCCTTAGTCTGCACTGCCTTGTAGGTATGCTTTATGATTTTGAATCTATGAAATGTATATCTATTTGCCAGCCACTGTGCGCCTATAAGATATATTTAAGTTGCTTATGTTGTAGTGGCAGAATATGAGTACCATTTAACTGTACACTTGTTTCTTGTTAGGAGAAGTGAACCTAGTAAGCAAGTAGGAAGCCTTGCATCGCTCTCTGACGCCCCCCCCTTAAAAAGTGGACTCAGCTCCCTTACTGGAGCCCCCTCATTGAAAGACTCTGAAAGTGAGTGCCCGAAAGGCCCTAGATTTGCTGACTGAAGATGTGGACTTTGAATACTGATGATATTTTTTTCTCTAATTAATTAAGTAGTATATGATCATTGTTTATTTTTTCATTAACGTGTATGTAAAATCACAAAAATAGATCATAATTTTACCACTCAGATATTTCCTATTAATATTTCTTTTTAATATGGTCATATATCATTTTGTATATTGCTTTTCCTATGCCATCAAAATACTTTTAGGAAATTGACTTTTTTGCTGCCTTATATAATAAATAGATAGTACAATTTTAAATGATCTCCCTTTTGTTGGATATTTAGACTGACCTGAGTAGGATTTAAATTCAATTAATTTTTAAAAATTTGTTTTCATAGACCTGTGATAGCACAGTAGTCATCATAGGAATGTTAGAATGTTATTCTGCCTGCAGGAATTCAGCTCTGAGACATATGTTTATACATAGCAGAGAGAGGGATTATTAGCTAGACCTGGAAGAGCCCTCCTACTGCACGACTGACCTTCCTGCCCCTCCCCGCACAGGTGGTACAAGACCAGGGATTTAGAAAGCATGGCCTAAATGTGTAGATAGGTAGATGAACTTTGTGTGCTGTTATCATAGTAAATACAGGATTTAATTGGCAGAGTGTTTAGAGCATAAATGTGCCTCTTTTGAGAAAGTTTTCTAAAAAGTAGATGTTTGTTAGGCAATTGCAGTGTGAGTTTTGCAGGATTTTGCAGTACTTACTAACCTTTTTGTATTACATGGTAGGATTTCCCAGGACACGTAAAGGAGATGGTCTGTGGCTTCTCTCAGCCTCTAGTAAACTAGCCATGTATCCGTTAATACGGCCCACGTCAGTTTCCCTCTTTTTATTCTTTCCTCTGGTTATTGTCACTCTCAGTAAAGGAGTCCAGAATATCACCGTCATGTCACTCTTAACAATGACTAGTGAGTAAAGATTTAGAGAGGACATGGAAAACTAAGGACTGAAGAAATAAAACCAGTGAGGAGACCAGTTTGATCAATGTAATAGCAATTGAATAGAAACAAAATTTTAGAAGTTCTAAGGAAAAATAAAATTGATGAGAGTATTTAGCTGTAGTCCATAAGTGCATACCCAGTAGGGCTTCTTATAGAAGGTGATATCTGATAGTTGGGCAAAAAATTACTCTAACGGTAATGTTCCAATAAAGAATAGTATTATGTTTGGTTAAAAAGGAATGTAGTGCATAATGTAAGCAACCATTAGTCACAGTTTGTAGTTTTTTCTTGGTGTTTGGTTATTATGTTTCTGTCATAAAGAAACCCTTATACTAAAAAAAAAATTGACATGGTTTAGAGACTGTTGTAGTCTAAAAGTCAATTTAATGCCAATATTTTTTCCTGTTCACAGGTAAAAAGGGAAACACAGTTTTGAAAGATCTGAAATTGGTCAGTGATAAAATTGGATCACTTGGATTAGGTAACTAGATTTCCAATTTTAGTGTTGATTGCTCTAAGGTGGTTATGTTTTTAGAGTAAAATCGTAAATGGAGTGACTCGATCAGCCTACAGTGAGCACCTCATGAGTAGATGTTTGGATGGTTTGTACATGTCCAGGGCTACTCCACATGCCAGGAATGGAGACAGCAGCAACACGACGGACTCTGTCCCTGGGGGGTTTAAGTCCCGTAGGGAAGGTAGGCATTAGACGGGTACCTACCGATCCTTGGAGTGTTAGAAGAGTCAGGACACACTGGTATGAGAATGGGTAGTAGGTTGACTTAACCTAGCCTCACCATTCGGGAAGGCCTCTCCTAGGAAGTGACTTCACTGCTGAGACCTGACAGGTAAGGGAGAAGGGAAGAGATTTCAGTTCAGACTGAGAGGACAGCTCGTGCAAAGGCAGAGTCACTTCTCTGGGTGCTGGGGGCACATGGTCCAGGCCCCAGGGAATCGGTCTAAGGGGGAGACAGACTTGTAACAAGAAAAACTGGGCTGTTGTGTTCAATTCTCGTATATGGAGCAGCAGTTTGTTACCTCGAGTGAGTAATTCGTTTCTACCAAAGGAAGAGCCTCAGTGTGAACATTACAGAGCCCTGGGCGATTCGTGGAGAACATGGTTCTCATCCAGTTTTCTATTCTGTGCAAAACTGCAGACAGGTGTGATAGGTGTGCTTTAGGCACACCTGACGCAGCAGCCAACCGGAAGGAGATGGTTCAGCCCAGGTTCTCTGTGGGACAGAAAGTCTGTGCATGACCCGATACTTGGTTCTCCCTGGTCTTAGAGCACTACATGAGGGGGCACTGGAGCCCAGCCTCATAGGCAGGCTGGGAGAAGGAACGTGTGGCCCCTTTGTGCTGTTTGCTCCTACAACTGCGAGCATCTGAGTGGGATCGCTCAGAGAAATGCCCCTCCCTCTTCTGGACAAACAGTCTAGAGAGTGGAAAGAACTGGGGTTTGGAAGTGGATAGATTTAAGTAAAATCACAAATGTGGCCCTAATTGGTGAGTAAGGTAGGTAGGTAAACAGCTATTTCCTCTGCCTGGCATAGTAGGTGCCTCATACATGTTAGTTCCCTTTTTACGTTACTGTGTTCCCCCATTTGCAGCAGAATAGATGTTCCTTGAGCTGCCGGATTCTGTTCAACGGGACCTGGACTCGTGCTCACTGCTGAGGTGGTGGTGCTGGCTGGCCAGCTGGGTGGGCCTGCTCCCTCCTTCCGTTTGTCTTCCCCCATTGGGTGTGATTGGGTCTTCAGTTAGGACGTTCTTGTCCACAGCCTGATGGAAAGTCTGCGCCCAGGTTTTCGCCGCAGGCGCTGCCTCTATGGACAGCCGCACCCGGAGATGCTCTGCCCTCCACACCTCGACAGCTGTCCCGTCCCCCTGCGTTCTGGCTTTGTTTGTGTCTCACCTTTGCAGTGTTGTACTCTGGGTTGCCAAGCCATTTAGCTTCTCTGACTGCTCTGTTCTCTGTCAAAGCGAGGGTGTCCCCAGTCTGGTTTTGAGGAGGAGCTGCTGAGAATTCTTGGTGAGGGGAGGGGGTTCTCCTGCCTCAGAAGTTGCTGGTGCAGTGGGACAGTGGTCTGCTGCTTCACTCCACTCTAGTGGGGACTCAGACGTACCTGGGGCTGGGACGTTTGTTGGTTATACCGGTGAGACTTAGCAGTTCACGAGCTGAAGGTTTGGTCACTTAGATGTTAGGATTCCATATAAATAAGCGTTTTTATTTAGTTTTGTTTCATGGCATTGAAACAGTATTATTTTCTGTTTGTTTTTTTATTTTCGTTGTAATACACAATATTCTCAGTATTTTGAGTAATATATAAGTGTTAGTGGACTAGCCTAGGATAATAATGAAGCTAGTGATATGTGCCTGGCACTGTACCACAAAACTGGTGTATTGAATTCATATCTTATGAGGTAGGTTTTATTATTAGCTCCATTTTCACAGATGAAGAACCTAGGTGAAGTAGGTTGCCTAAGATCGTACCACTTTTAGAATCCTGATATACCAACAAAGAGCCCTAACCACTGGGATTTACTGCCTAGATATTATTCAGACATTATTTAAATATCATTTCAATGGAAAAATAAATTCTGAGTTCCAAAGAAACAACTTACAAGTAAAGCTTTAGAGCACAACTTACTTTGCATGTTTAAAGCGTGGGTTGGCTAACGTTTTCTGTAAAGGCCCAATAGTAGATATTCTAGACTCCGTAGGCCACATGTGGTCTCTGTCACATATTCTTTTTTGTTTTCCTAAAATCCTTGAGAAAATGTAAAAGCCATTCTTAGCTCTCAGGTTGTACAGAAACAGGTTGCTGGCTGGATTTGGGCTGCGAGCCAAGCTTACCTGTAGTTCCCTAGTTCTCTGTAGACCTAGGTAGTCAGGATCTAATGTTGTGTTCCTGCACATCACTCAGTATTTTGTCTCTGAATTGACTGCATATGCCCAAAGGCGGAGAGTCCGCTCTCTCTAATCCAAACTGTAGCCCAGCTCCCACGGCCTGAGCTATTTCCACCTCTGCGCTCTGTGCTGGGGTTCACACGGGCACGCTGCGCCTGGATTGGGCGGCTGCCTCACCGTGTAGGAGTGGCTGCTGCTGTGGACTCCCTTGGCACTTGCAGACCAGCTGGTGGTTTGTTTAATCAGAAGGTTCCACTCCTCATTCTCTGCTGTTCTCTGCCTGTCTGCTGTCTTTCAAGCACTGTACACCCCTTAACCTTTGAGGCCATGAGTCATCTGGGCAACGAATGCGGATATAGGCTCTTTATTCGAAAGAGGAAGACAATCGGGAAACTTGATGCCCACATGCTGCTTATTGTCAGGGACTCCTGATTCATTGTTTTCTTCATTTTCCAATATTCTTTCCTCCCCACCCCATATAGTCCATCCTTCTGTCTCTCTGTCTGATCTGTAGGACACTTGCCTCCCCCCAGTAACCCCAGTCGTTTCTGGCCTGGACATTGCAGTAGCCTTCTTTGTCTTCTCTTCATTCTTACCTCCCTCAAGCACGTGTCTTCCTGCAGTGGTTGGAGTGTCTGTGGAAAGCAGAAGCCTGTCCTCTTTCCGCCCCTGCCTCCCCACTTTGCGTCTTGGCTAACGTCCTGATCGTGATCTAGAGGCCCTAAATGGCCTCTGCCAGCCCCTCTGCTCTACACTCCTTTGTCTTCTCCCCACCCTGCCCCACATTCATTATTTGATGATACACTAGCCTCCTCACTATTTTTCAAATCACTGTGCCCTCGCCCATCTCAGGGTCTTTGCGCACGTTTCTGCTTCTTGCAACACACTTTCCCCAATAATTTGTACATCTGATACCTTCTTTAGGTTTCAACTCAGCTGTCACCTCAGAGAGTTCTTCCCAAACACTTGAGCAGCGTCTAGTTTGTTCAACTGTTGGCTGTCCCTTTCCTCCCACTACAGTGTCAGCTCCCTGAGATTAGAGCTACCACCTTTTCCACTGCTGTACCTCAGGGGACCTAGTAGTCGCTCACGTATTTGACAAATGAATAAATTAGTCATGGAATTTTATTGGAAGAGGATCACCTTGTCTGGCTGCCTGGGCAGAACTTGAATTCCCTCAACAATGCCCCTGACAGAGTCCGGTCTGACACTTCGAAGGATCCGAGGGACAGTATGAGTAGCATCTCTGAAGAGCTCGCTGTTGAGCCAGGCTTCCTCTTCGTGCATGGTCTGCGCTCTTCCCCTGGTGGCCACGTGTGATCCATGTGTGTCTGCCACCTGCCAGTCATTCACACTTTGAGGTGCCTCTCCTGGGCCTCTACTTCTTTGCTTTGAGGTTGACAACCCTGTTTCCTCAACTGTTCCTCAGAAGACATGGAGGGAACAAAGGCTAGTTTGTAAGTCTCAGAGGTGTTACTCTGTGGAAGCCCCGTGGTGCCCTTTTAGACACTGTGACACTGCTTCATTAATCAGGCCCCTCCCTTGTGATGTTACCTTTCGTCAAGCACTTACTGTGCACTAAGGTTTGTTAGGCACCTCACATGCATGAATCCTTATGTTAACCCTGTGTTTGGTGTGGGTTTGGCTATACTTTAGAGCTGAGGAAATAGCCAAGAAAAATTCCCTGAGTCTCCCACAGTCAGAGAGCGAGAGCTTCAGGGCGGGGCCGGCCTGTGAACCCAGCTCTGTCTGACTGGAGATGCTCTCATTGCTCTGCTGTTGCCTCTTCACACCGTGTGATCATTTGTTTAATGTTGTAGCTATATTGAGTTGAAGAGTCTCAACAGTTCAGAATGGTAACAAGAGGGGGTAGGTGTTAACTTGCTTTTACTGGATCTCACTAATCAAATATTTGTTGTTAATATCAGGTGACATTATAAATGGTAAAAATACAATAGGATTAAGCTTTTGAGTACTTGGAATGAAAGACTAGATATTAACTACATTTTATATCGTATCATAACTTCAAAATAAACGTCTTAGGTAGTTTATTTTGTCATTGGCTTTCATATATGGTAAAAATATTTCTGATATTTGAGACTTTTTTAATGATACAATATAATTCAGTAATATAGATTTTTTTGAAGGAAATGTGTATGTTTGTGGATAAATCATGAAGTGTGTATATATAAACATGTATATCTCTTCTTAAACTTATCAGGGACTGGAGAAGACGATGACTATGCTGATGACTTTAATAGGTAAGAAAAATAGTTGGGCGACAGCTCTATAAATGGTAAACGATTTCTGAACACAGGACAGTATGAGAGAATTACATGGTGCTTATTTTAGTGTATTGGAAGCCACTTGAAAGCATTTAAGTCTTCACTGTGTTGTGGGTGCTCGGTCTGTCCTCCTTCCATCTCTCTGCTGGGAATCGTCTACATTCAACTTCAAGAACTTGTCCCTCAAATTATTGTTATGATTCAGATGACATTTCTTAATTTTTTTCAGGTAAGTTTTTTTATAAACATAACGACAGTATCATCTATGATTGGCTAATAATTAATTTGGAAGTAATATTGGTGTGGATATGATTAGAAATTTAAATTTCAGTCTAAGAATCTTATATATTTGACAGTTTTTCAATTTGGGAATTGTTTTAATTTTTTACAGAATAATTTACTACACAGCTTTTTGAGAGATGGCTGTAGTAGAAAATGTAGTAGAAGAAATTTTGAAAATCTGGGTTTGCTTCTTTCTTGTCATTGTGACCATAGTCACCACTACAAACCTTAGTTTTCTCATCTGTGAAATTGACTTGACCGTTCGTAGTACCCTTGCTAGGCTATTTTAAGGGTCAAGTGAGATAATATGTATGAAATTAATGATATTTAATATTTTATATTTATTTTAAAGGATTGAAATAAATATTTGAAAGGTGGAAGAATGATAGTTGCTCTCCTTAAATGTTTATATTCAGAGTCTGTATTTCTCTTTTTTTTCCCTGAAATTAGTACCAGCCATTGCTCAGAAAAAAGTGAGCTGAGCATTGGTGAGGAGATCGAGGAGGACTTCTCTGTGAAGATCGATGACATCAACACCAGTGACAAAGTACGGTGTTGAGCATCGCCCGTAGATGCTGTTTGTGCCGATTTGTTGCCTTGATCTACTGTAAAGCTTCAATAATTTACACAGATTAGGAGAAAAACAGTTGAAATTATGAAAAGGTTATGACAGAGTTACCCGGTCCAAATCTAAAAGAATGTCTTTAATGAATATGTAAGATTGTTTTCAATAGTCGCTTCCTTTGGTAATTGAGTACTTCTGAAATGTCTGTGTATTGTTACTGGGGCATCAATTGCTGTGGGTTTAGGTGGGCCACAGTGGGTCAGGACTAGAGTCAGAATCAACTCCTTCAGTGGTGTGGACAGTTAGTGTTGGCAAGAGGTCGTCTTCAGAGAAGACAGGTTACAAAGTTGGCGCTTGAGTAAGAGCACTGTGAGTGGAGGAGGTGAAGCTGAGACTGGAGTGCAGCGTTGTGAGCTCTGAACAGGCAGGTCAGGGCCGGTGCCAGAAACCCACGGGAGACAAGACAGCAAAAACGGTGTCAGGGTATAAAGTTAGGAGTCTATATCGGAGATCCAAATGTGACGTTTTTATTAGGCAGAGAGCAGAATATACTTAGATGTGTATTAAACGTGAGATGTAAGGTAGCATGTCAGGATCGCGTGTCAGTGCCCACAGCAAGCTGTATCCCCAGCTGAGGTGAGCCTGCCTTTGAGGTTGGGGTTTCCTACAGCCTGGAGGTGAATGTTGCTTTCCAGAATGAGAAGGGATTCTCCAGATACTTCAAGTGATTATCACACAGGGAGAAGGCCTTTGAGAAACTCCGCATTTTATAATGAAAGCAACACAATCTGAGCCAGCAAAATCTGGGCTTGCCTTCTTATTCTTTTGTGTACTGTGTTTTCCTAGGCAAACTTTAACCTTTGATCCTCAGTTAGTTTATTCGTGAGATGGAAATATTAATGCCTACCTCATAGGATTGTTTTGAAGGTAGTGATAGTATGTAAAGTACCTTCTCTAATTGCTGACACATCATAGGCTATTTCTCTTACCTTTTTACCTTATGTTACCCTTAAGAGGCCTAAAAATGTTGCTGTAAAGTTAGCAAAGAACTACAGAAGATTCTTTTAACAATCAATTTTCTTGTTAATGCAGAGGTCAGCTGTTAGCTCAGCCTTTTGGTATTATCAGATTTCAAAATAGGAAGAAGAAGGTGAGGTAAAGGACTTTGGAATATGAAGCAGTTTGTAGAGTATAATATTTAAATAATAGTAATAGATTTTTAAAATTATTTGACTCTACTTGTATTCTGACACAATTCTTTTCTTTTTTTTGAACAACAAAGCTTGATGACCTCACACAGGACCGAACTGTGTCCCAGCTCAGTGATGTTGCAGATTATCTGGAAGATGTTGCATAGACATGAAAGAAGGAAGTATTCTAATCGACAAAGGACAAAGGACTCTGATTAGTTCCATTTTTTTTTTCCAGACAATCATTCTTTGCTGGAATGTCTCCTCCCTATTGGTGCCTTGTGTTTCAAGAAGACTGCAGATATTTTTAAAATTAAAATTTTTAAAATTAACTTTTCATTATACTAAACAAAATACTTCTTAATTGAGCCCATGTGTGGATTCCTAATTTGGTTTAGCTACATGTTTCTCTATGGAAATTATTTGTGCTCAAATTCATTATAAGGAGCGAACCCGTGAAAATACCAGTATTAAGACCATCCTAAAGGTGTCAATAAAGCTACAGGCTCACACAACTCTGCATGCGTGTGTGGCTTCAGTCATGTGGAGTCAAAGCATAGTTGGTATTAGGTGGCTCTGCAGGTACTTGGCGAATGACCTGGTAAATTTGTAGTACCGAAGCCTATTACGTAAGTTAAATTTGATATGTCAGCTTTATTTTGTATTTCCTTCCATTTGGAAGGTTTGTTAGACCATTAAGGTTATATTAAAATACTCTTCTGTGTGCTACTTAGTTTTGCTTGTTTTAAAGAAATCTCGAGGTGGTTATGACTTAATTTGTGGAATTGTCTCTGACAGCATTTGCAGTCGCCGCCCCTGTGTCCATGTGAGAAGCTTTAGTCACAGGTTCTCTTTGTTACAGTTGTAATTTATTATTTGTAAAGATGCCTTGAAACATACTAAATACCAAAATGCATCTGAAACCATTAAGCAGTGCTTTTATGTCAGATCTGTAAGTTGATTATATTAAAATCCAAATTGGACTGTAACAGTAGTAATGGCCTAAGACCATATCCAGTTTGATGAGCTTTATACACTGTACATAGTTTCATTGTAACCTTTTAAAAATTGAGCCAATAATAGAGTTCCAGACAGTCTCAATTACACTGTATCCGTTGTGCTGCTATTTATGTAGGTTACTGACATTGTGATACTGAAGTGTTGAACAATTGGAAGTGAGCATGCGTGTTCATATAAATATAAGTAAAGCTGTGATTATGTGTTAAATTTTGTACCTTTTTATTTCAATTAAATTATGGCTTTTTATTAAGTCACCTTAATTAATAAAAGGAGCATATTAGACCTGATTCATTGATATCAGTAAGTGAGCAGACTTCATGGTTTGCTTAATGCCAGCTTTTCATTTCATATTAGCCTAAATATTACAGAAATATTTGCTGGGCCCTAAAATGTAAAGAGAAATGATAATGTAAGGATTAAGGTTATGTAATATTAGAATCTGATTTTATCAAATTTAAGTGAAACAGCCATAAGCACCAAGAGGAAGTAGCACAGAAAATGGGCCAGGGCTGCCTGGAAGCGTCCCAGTCATCGGCCCTCAGTTTGTGGGCCACCGTCTCAGGCTCGGTCATGCTTTTCATGTGTATATGAGTGAACAGCACTGTGTGAAGATGTCATTATTGCTCAAGGTCCCCGTGTGCTTGTTATAAAATGCATCTCCCTGGCTGGCATCTCAGTCCACAGTCACTGTCTGTAAAGATGAGAGTTCTGTTCTGGTGCTCTGGAATCGGTCACATGTGTTGTTCAGTTTTTATAGTCTTTGATAGGAGCTTGATTTCAGTGAAATGATTTGAAAGTATAGCAGGGGTAGCTTTTTGAATCTGGAAAATCTTTGAACAGTAGTGTCAAAACTTGTCATTTTTCTGTTACCTGGAGAATCTGACCTTTTGATAATATCTGGGAGGATGGGGAGAAAAAGGCCAAATATGAAACATCCTTTGTCGTCACTACATACATCTGATTGAATAATTTTAAGTAACTTAAAATTGAGCTATGAGAAAGTTTTGTTTCCATGTGTTCCTTGACTAGACAGGTTTTGAGTGTGACTAGTGTTTTCTTTTTGTTAAGAAATACATATTGAAATATTAACCCATGAAATACATTTTTATGCTAAAACCTGTATTTTAGGGTGGAGTTTTTCAAATGCTATTTCTCATTTTATGCACGATAACTCAAGAGTGAATAAAAAGCTCACGCCTTTTGTTCTGTGGTGTGTGACAATGACCAAGCGTCAGGTGTGGGACATGGTTCTTGTTCCCTGTCTCACGGTGGCCTGTTTCCAGCCCTCTTCACCCTCTTCTTGCTCCCTGCCCCAGCCCCCCTGAACCAGCACTTGGCACACAGGCCTGTCTGCCCCTTCCAGCTGCCAAGTGGGTCCTGTGCTGGGGTCTATTTGCTTCTTTTCCGGATTGCCCTCCCCCAGAACTGCGCCCAGCTGGCCTGTTTCTGTCCTATTCTCAGAGAAGCTCCAGCCTGGAGGTTATGCCTATTTTCCCTCCCACCTTGTCACTGTCACAGCTACCCGTGTATTTTCATCGTCTCTCTCCTCTGTCTGCACTGGGCCTGTGTGTGGTCCATAGCTCCATTGGCATAGGGACTTTTTGACCACTGTATACCGTTGGTACCTAGAACAGCACTGAGCCCTAGGATAGGTTCAGTAAGGGTTCCTGGTGATGTGAAGGGCACTGGCAAGGGGCCTGGAAAGTGTGGTTTCTGCTGGGCAGCTGCCTCCCAAGGACAAGTCCACTCAGTGTTGAGGGGACAGCTGTCCTCACCCTCAATCTGGAGGCCTAGCTTCAAGTCTGAGGGGTGGGCTCATGGCTCAGTAAAGGCCATCTAATGGACACTGGGTCCCTGGCTGCCCTGCCCACCACCAAGGCTAGTTGGAACATTGCTCTTGAAGGAAGTGGACAGTTGTCCTGTCCGTGGCTTGGCGTGAATGCTGACACAGGAGAGAAGCAGAGCAGGACCCAAGGAGGCTGGGCTGATGACCCTGCTGGACCTGCAGGGAAGGCAGGCAAGGGAAGTCAGCCCTCCTGGAGAAAACTAGCCCCACTCTTGGGCTGGGTGGGATCTGCACCTGTTCTCTGCCCTTGCACACTGACCCAGCCCTGCCCTCTTGACATAGTCTTTGCTTGACATAGTCTTTACTTGACATAGTCTTTACGCCCTTCTAGGAAGGGGCGTATTTGGGGAAACCAGTGCCGAGGACATCAGGGAAGCCACATTTACAAATCCTCCATGCCTCTTGCAGAGCTCTGCACTGCCGACCAAGGGGCCCTGCATGTAAGGAGAGAACAACATGTCACAAAAGGCTGAGATGAACAAACAGAACAGCTTATCTTGGGGGAAACAATTCAGAGAACAAAATAATTTAAAAATAAAAACCTAATTACATTACTAGAGATTTGAGAAAGCTTTTGAACTTAAAAGAGGCTTTTATGAAAAAGGTATAGTGAAAATGATTTTTGAGTAAAAAACTTGGGCTAAGTCATTCAGTACAAGGGCTGAATGATGAGATAACTCAAAAAAAAAATTAGTAACCTCAAAGAGAAAGAACTCTGCATGTTTAGCAAAAATGACGAGGATGGAGGCAGAACAGCCAAGAGACAAAAAACGGAAGATTGGTTGAGGACTGCAGCATCTACACATCCAGGACAGAGGTTGCAGGGTTGAAACCAGGGCAGTCAGGTATCAGCAAGGACATCCTTAGGACATGCTGAGCTGGATGACAGAAAACAAGGCCCGTGGCTAGACACACCTTGGTGAAGTTGGACAATTCTTAGTGTAAAAAAAAGGCGCTTCCAAGATTACTTGAAGGGAATGAGAATGAGAATTGTCTACCCTGGATGCTAGAAGTAATAGAGCAATGACTACCAAGTTAGGAGGAAAAAGTGACTTTTGAACATAGAATCTCTACCCTGCTGAGAAAGGAAGCTTCCTGCCAATCAGAAATGAATCCCAAAGCAAGGTCAGGAGAGCCTGGCGTCTCCCAGGCCAGCGGGCTTACACTGTGTTCCCGCGAGGCAGTGAGAGAGGACCTAGACTCCCTCCCCACCTTCTAGAACATGGCTTTGCCTTTGCCATGACTTTGCCTTGTCTTTGCCTGCCGGCAGAACAGTTCAGTTGTGTGAGATGGGGCCTTGCTTCCCAGAAACAGGAAAGAGAAGACGGGCAGGAGAGCAAGAAGAGAGGCCGAGGGCTTTCATGGGGCCTGAATCTCAGGATGGATTGAGAGGAAAAGGGACAGGTGGGAGCAACAGACACCAGGACAAAGGGGTCCAGACGGCTTCTAAGAGGGTTTTTCTGATATTCTAGCTTGAGGTGTTGGTTGTTTTTGGCAATTTATGCAATCTTCAGATTTGAGGTGAAATTATTTTTTTCCATGAATGTTTAATTTTAAAACACTTATAGTTTCTAAAAAGCCAATTTTGGAGTGTTTTATAAGTTGCCAGACTACTGGATATAGACTTAATCATACTTGTTGTCTTTTAAGTCATTCTTCAATTGTAAAACTGAGTGGTAGCTCTCCTGAAATGAAGATTTTTGATGAATAAGAAGCAGTCACACTAGATATTTTAACCCTCCTTTTTCTGTGTAGCACAAGTAAAACCAAGGACAGAGTCTGAATTGCACGGCTGCTAGCTGTGCAGGGGTCTGCCTCAGGTCTCTCACTCACTGTCGTCTCTCAGATTGCTAGCCCTCAGTCTGTCGGCCTGAGCTCTGTTTACCTTACCTGCTCTTTCCTTCCGCTTCCCCTTCATGCCCTCGTCCCCCAGTGCCAGGTGTCTTCACCAGCCCCGCAGCGTGTCTCTCCTGGGGGTGACTCCCCCAAGCCCTCCTGCTCCCCGCACAAGGAAGTGGCACCTAATTGTTTCTCTAATTTTTTTTTTACATTTTAATGTATACTATTGTGCACAAATATATTAATTACATTTATAGAGGTTAGGTGTATAGGAATGTGAATAACATCCCCCCAACACTTTCATTTATCCTGATTTATTATGGGGCACATTTATTTGACCTACCCCAATTTGTTTAACACACATTTCCAAGAAAATATTCATCAGATTAAAAAGAAAGAAAAAGACTGCCTGTACCTAAAGCTGTAATCATCAAGTTTCTTAAGGAAAATGTATTCCTGGAGTTAAACAACACACTTGTGATTGGAATTTCTCAGCAGAATCTCGAAGTTTGGAACTGCTTCAGCAAATTAACACCCTGTACATTTCAAGAAACATTTGCTGATTGATTATTGTCCAATAAGCCTTCCAAACACGGAGAAGAAGACATGGTCCCGGTCCTGTGATGTGCCACCAGGTCCTTTTTCAGTGAAGGGCTGCCCAGCCCAGCTGCTTGGGAGCTCTGACGGTCCCTCCAAGGACCACCTCAGCTGTAGAGAGCCACATCACCCAAGGTCAACCCCCACCCCTGGTGGCCCTCATCCAGGGACTACAGTGGCTGATCCATGTGGGGGCATAAAGGCCTGGC